CCTGCTACTTTGAGACAATGGTCCAAAGCAAGGCAGGGACTGTACTTCTTCCTTGCTCTTATGCAGACCATGCAAAGGCTGGGGGAAGAGCCTTTGTACCTTTCAATGGCCCATTCTCTTAGGAGGTTTTACCACCTTTTATTCTATTTTACAAATTCTGACAACAATTCTGCACATGAATTAAGGCAACTGAATAAGTGGGTTCCACAGAGCTACTCATGTGCAAGTACGTTCATATTGGGGTTTACAGAGTACCCAGAATAGAATAATACGTTTCTCAGATTGTCTAACCTCTGTAACAGAAACGAATGCTATCTGAACATAAAATATACTTTTTTAATTGCAGTAATAAGCTATAAATGATCATTCGCAGGTTTCTACTCTATTAAAAATCCACCTTTCCTCCTACCAGGGACTGCTAATCATTTCATTTCATTTATCTGCTTTAATTAGTATGCTGCTGTTCTAATTACTGTAGAAGCCTTGAAATCATGTCTTTTAGCTTGTTCCCCCTGCACACAGATGCACTCAAACATTTCCCTATTTCTTTACAAAAATGCTTATCAAAGAGAGGCACTGACATCTCTCAAGAACAGAGACAGCTGGCTCGCCTACAAAAAGCTTGGCAACCTGGGGGAAAAAAAGAAGAAAAAAAATTAAATACAAAAAACCAAGTAGGTCCCTAGGTAGTTGGGATTTTCTGTAATCTGGTACTTTTCCTAATCTCCTTCCAAGTTCTTTACAGACTTTAACATGTAGTAAGAACATTTTATTTCCTATAAAATATTTGTATGGGTCTAAAATTTAAATAATCTTGTGGATACAAGTATTTAATCTTTCTGCCTGTCAGCTACATTAATCTTCATGTTTTTTCTTTTAAAATAACATTCCAAGTATAACATGTAGCCAAGGCACTGAAAAGCTGACTTCCATTAGTTTGTAATACTGGGCAGTGCCAAGGGGCTCAGGAGTGAGGCAACACTGGAAAAATTTGGCTCCAGGTGTCATTTATCCTCTTAACAGAGAGCAGGTGTAGAGATTAGGAGGAGATTGAGCAACTGTTGATTAAACACAGGTGACAGCTTGGTCTTACATCTGAGTTGTTTGTGCTACTTACTGTTGATGCTAAGGAATGAGAGAGAGGAGCATCCGGTTTAATAGAAGGCACTGAAAAAGGGTTCATTATCCTTGAATAATAAATTTAGTTTAGGTTACCCTTGTGTAAATAAATTTAGTTTAGATACACAGATCACATGTTGGTAGATAAATCCATAGCTTTACTGAATCCATGGTTTGCACCCAATTCTCTTCAGTGGCAAAAAGCCCCTGAAGCATAAAAAGCTTGTTCTAGCCACCAGTGAAACAGGGACCTGGACAGAAATGTAGCAGATTTGTGTCTATATCCGTATATGCCATTTCTGTATTTTTGAAAATCAAGCCTATTTTAGATTCTCTAAATTCAAATAAGGCATCTGCCACATGCAGTTATTCTCTTCAGTTTCTCCCCCTCAAAGAATACATGCTTCTTTCCATCATGTAAAGTGACTAAAGCTTGAGAAAACCAAAAAGCAGTACTGTAGTTGATCCTTGTGGGTCAAAGCAAATGTTATTTACCACTACCAGTATAACTTGCTAAGACAGCCTGCTGACCTCACTAAAACTAATTGCAAGAAATGCCTTGACAAAACTCACGACTACTAAACCATTAACTTAGAAATTCAATCAAAGTGACTTTAGCAAGCCATCAAGCCACAAAGATGATTAAAAAAAATTATTAACCCTACATGTCATATAACAAGCTTACATTAAGTTTGAAACTTCTGACAGAGAACTGGCTTTTAGAGAACACAGGAGACGTGAATGAGGGACAGGTTCCATAATTACTGCTATTAACTACCTATATAAAAATAAAAACCAGTCCTCTGCTGTGAATTTAAAAGAACACAGCTTTATTTAGTATACAATGGTCATAACATATCAGTACAATATATTTATAAAAACAATTGTATGTTAGCTCTCACCAGCAAAACACTGAAAACAGAAATGGAAATGTACTTTTGAATCCCAAAGGCTTTTCTCACTTAAAAAATATATCCTGGGTTTCTGATCTAAAAAGTCCTCTACCCTTGTACTTTAGGCCCTAATGCATCATTTTTATCAGTTCAGGAGCTGTCTATGGATGTTATGTGATGTGTCCAATGAGTCATCAAATTACTCATTTATAGATATGCCTAAGCAAACAAAAATTGCCATAGTTTATACAGGTGGATCAATTTTAGTACAACCAGAGAGAAGTGCCAGAATAACTACTAGGCTCTGTGAAGGTGTGGGGTGAGTTGCACTCCAAGCACAGGCCGAGGTCTGTAAAAGGAATTCAGATTCTTAATTCACAAACATTATCACAGCAAGAAACAAAAAAGACAACATAACTACCCAAAAAATACCCCCAAACAAGCAAACCAGGCTTTGGCTACAAAAACTCCAGAGGACAGGGAATTTAGCCCTTTGCTAGTAGGGTGTCTTTCTGGTTGCTTGAGTCCAATGAAGTCTCCAATTGGGCATACTCTTTCC